GGTGGACACGCCAGCCTTGAAGACCAGGCTCTATCCACACTCCACACACACACACAGCAACCCTTGATCACCTTGGGTCAAGAGGTACACATACCAGTGGTCTATCCACCCTCAGGAAAAAGTTTCCTGAGGCTTCAGCTCCTGGAGGCCAGCTCAGGGCCATTTAGTCAGGGGATTCGGCAGAGATCTGCCAGTCTGCTACCCTGATCTAGGTCAATAATGTTTCGATAAAGGTTATGGGACGCCCCCTTGTAGCAAGAAATGGGCACAAGACAACGTTGTCATCCTCTGTCACTTCGTTCCTGGGGAATGTTTGTTCCCCCACCTGCCGTCTTCGGTGTTCACCGCTTACTAGCAGTGTTAATCCCTGAGTGAGTGTCAAAGCAAATTACGAGAAAGCCAGATTTTCAGCCCTCAGGTTGAGAAGCGTGGGTGGGGAGAGAAAGGGAGGCAAAGTCAACTCGAAGGTCATGGGCTGCCGTCTGCTGGACCAAAACTTACCAGCAGAGTTTATTAATACCTCCAGCCCGTGTTGCAGTTATGGCTGTGGCTTTTTCAGTGAAGGAGGTGAGACAGCTGGGTGTCCCATTTCTTTGGGGGGCAGATGGGCTATCTCTGTCCCTCTGCCCTTGTTCCCTTCTCCCCCACCAGTTTCAGTGCCCCAAAGCTGCTGGGAATTCCAAGAGGACAAAAGAGCTGGCAGACTAAGACTAACACCAAGATAGTAAAGATTTAATACTCTTTTATCTCTGTCAAAGAGGATTGACATTTTAAGAGACACTTAAGGAGAGTAATGTTTGACCCAAAGGAATGAGTTCCTAACGGTGGTATTTTAGGCTTTGTAGCAAGTGTGTAGAAGAGATATTTAATGGAATTCTTGCCATGGGAATGACCAGCTACTAAGTTGGCCCCATGTGGGTGCCAGGGGAGTGGGAGATGGGGGTGGGAGGGGAAGAAAGATGTATCCCTCCTAAAAATCTTGGTTTTTAACTACTTGATATGTGATTTGAGTTTATCTATTTCCAGGAAGATAAAATAAAAATCTGATCCTGGTTTGAACAATCTACTGGTAGGCAGGATAAGGAGCCCGCCCCTCCCTTAGAGGAATTCAATGGGAAAATTTGCAGACAAATGCCGTTGCTACCCAGGAGGTTTGACTGGCTTCCTCTGGAAGATTCCTGCAGAGACTGATTGCTGCATTTGTCACTATACCTAGACACTGAGGTTAGGAGGGTCAGCAGAGACTGATATTTGCCCTCCCAAAGCCATTCTTCCCTTTTTCCTTTCTAGAGAACTCTCATTTTGTCTTGGATGGCAATGTGTCCAGATAAAAAGATTACATCTCTCAGACTCCCTTGTAGCTAGGGATGGCCATGTGACCATTCTGATCAAAGAGATACAAGCAGAATTTACTAGGTAGGGCTTATGGGAAAGCTCTTTAAAAGGTGGGGCTGTCTCGAATGGCACATGCCTTTCTCCTTCTTCCTGCCTAGAAGGCAGATGTGATGCTGGAGGTGGGGCAACCACATTAGCACCATGAGACAACCACGTATCTAAAGGAGGGAAAGAGATTCTGGGTCCCTGGTAATACTGCAGAAATGTGACGATGGTACAAGCTCTGGACGGCCCACCTCTAGACTTCTTTTAAGTGAAGAGTTTATTTGGTTAGGCCACTATGAGTTGGATTTTCTGTTAAGTGCAGCTTAACTCACTTCTGTCTAATGTAGGAACTGAGGGGACAAACAACCAAACAAGGAATTTAAACCA